CCACACCCAAAGACTGCAGACTCAGATGACTGGCAAAGGTCATGTTTCTGTAAGAACCAAATCCACGCCTCTGCCACCGGCTGCTGCAGCCCATCAGCCACAAATTTATGGGCGTGCTTCACAGACTGTGGCCATGCAAGGGCCTGCACGGACCTTAACAATGCAGCGTGGTATGAACATGAGTGTAAATTTGATGCCAGCCCCAGCTTATAATGTCAATTCAGTGAACATGAATATGAATACCCTTAATGCTATGAATGGTTATAGTATGTCCCAGCCAATGATGAATAGTGGCTATCACAGTAATCATGGGTATATGAATCAAACTCCCCAGTACCCTATGCAGATGCAGATGGGAATGATGGGAACTCAGCCATATGCACAGCAGCCAATGCAGACAGCACCCCACAGTAACATGATGTACACTCCTCCAGGCCATCATGGCTACATGAATACAGGCATGTCTAAACAGTCTCTCAATGGATCCTACATGAGAAGGTAGGCCCTTGGGAGAGACACGCTACCAAACTGGCATATTGGATTGATCTGCACAAATACCTTTTTGGAGAGTACGATTTCAAAACCAGCAATTGGTGTGAATGCAAAAACATTTGTTGGCACCATTTAAAAGCTGTATGCAGCAGAAAGCCTTATACAAGTTTTTCTTTATTTCTTGTTTTGTTTTTTTTGGTTGTTTGTTTGGGTTTTTTGTTTTGTTTTTTTTAACTTTGTGAGATTTAACTTCTCTTTGGGGGGAATTAGATGGTTTTCCATTTTCTGTTTATTTCATTGAGCTTGAAGTTCTCTGGAAAGGAAGAACTCTTTCTTTGAACTGCAATTACACAGCAGCTGATGGTTCAGAGCCATTTTATGTGCCTGCTCCCATTAAAAATGTGGATAAATAGACTCCAAAACTATCAGACAGTACTGGATCATGAGCTTTTTCTCTCTCCTTTCCCCACATGTAAATGCCTTTTAGCAGTTCTTTTATTGTATTATTTTGTTTCTGAAGGTGACACTTCTGCATGCCGCTAATGTCTTTGTTAGTGACAGTGCATTTTGTAGTACTGTACAAGTGTTGTGCTTAACAGTAAGCCATTTCTTAATTTTTTTGCCTTGATTAGGTTACCCTAGTTTGAGGGGTAAAAAACTCAGAACTATATTTTTGTTAATTATAAAACTTGTAAAAATAATAAAAAAAGCTGCAAAAGCTATTCACATTTTGGTTAGTTCAAAGGGTTTTATTGCTGTATGTTTAGTGTAAAGTTGAGACTCTTTTCCATTTTTGTGACCAGTTTCTTTGGGGCTGGGGTAGGAAAAAAGGCAGCTTTCTGTTTTATAAATACTGTTATGTTTTTTTGTTGATTGAAACATCTCAGTGTTTATTTGTCAAGTTTTGAAACATTTTCGTATATGTCCAAATACTTGGCAGGATTTAAAAAAAAAAAAAGTAGTGAATTTGGTGTAAAGTTGCTATTTTATGGAAATGCCTCTAACTTTACATTTTCATTCCATCTGTAGATTTTTCTATCTTTATAAAATATTGGAGTTATTTTTTAAGGGAAAGAATAGAGCAGTAGCGTGTGAATAGCTCAAACTAAGCTTACAGATCGCATGTAAAAAGGCAAAAGTTATTTGTGTCTGTTTATATTGCTTCCTTTTTTGTAGCCTTTGTACCTGTACAGAGTGACTGTAAGGGCCGAACAGAAGAGGCTTGATACATGTAAAAATAGGACCCAGTGACACTCTTGTATTTATCTGTTATCTTTTTAGTCAGTCACTTAAAAAAAATATCCACAAAAAACCCACCCAAGCAACAAAAATAAAAACTGCAAAAAACAACCCCCCCCAAGCTGTACATTTTAACATAAAATAAATTATGATGAGCCATTTTTAGCCTCTTGTGTCTTGTCATAGTTTGATGTTGCATGGGAATTACCTCCTGAAACAGTGTTTGTTACGGTGCTCTCACATGCTTGATCTAAAGCCCATTAAAGTTGGTGGGGTTTGGATTAGGCTGTTAGAGCCTAAGTGTAGGTTACTCATCATAATTGCATACATCTTGTGAAAATAAAGAGTATCTAAGATTATTTTTTTAAATAATCTTAATAAAATATTGAATAAATATGTATTTAATACGCTAAAAGGTTGTCAATATTTAATGTATGAAACTTCTTTCCTATAGAAAGTGTTAATATATATATATATAAAAGGATATATGATAGTAACTGACATGGTGTTTGAACTGTATTTTAATGATAGAATTGTAATCTCTTCCTTTGTCATTGTTGCTGGGTGACAAGATGATGCAAATTCTGTGTATATGGATATGGGTGCACACAAACATACACTCACAGATGAACACTTCTAATCTAGCAGTAGGTGGTCTCTAAATATCAAGAAGGCTGTCTATAAATGTAACTTGCAAATGGACAGGTTCAAATGTGGTGTGTGTGAATCTACACCAGAAAAAAATCCTTGTCACAATTTTTCAAAATGCTTCTAATGTGATTGTTGCCACTGAATTCCTCCTCTAGCCCATTGACACTGCAGGAAGGTTGTTGGCTGAGGTGAAAGCATTGGTCATCTTGACTGAAAACTGTCTCCATTCCAGTATATAAAGCAGCTTTATAGGTAGTATTTCACATACCCAAATGTCAAAAAAATGTGTGTTTCTTCAAATAAAACCATTACTGTATGGTGTTGCCAAGTCAAGAAACTGATACTACAGATTCATGCGTGTAACCTGTTCAGTTCTAGTACAGTGGAGCAGCAGTTTAAGATAGTGGATCTGAATGAGAATGAAAATTGCTGGTGAAATGGTAAGTTGGAGTAACTTGTGTTTTAGGAGTTCAGAACACTTGATAAGGAGAGCACAATACAACAAAGATCTTGGTTCATGCCACTTATGTGTCAAATTTGTTTATTAAAGGCAGAGAGTATTAATAGTACTTAAACTATGTTTTCATCTTCACAAAATAACTGTCAACATTTTTATGCTTAGGAAGGTGAAAGGTGAATTCAACACAATTATTTGCAGCCTTCAAGTGTGTTTAGCGAGGACCATATCTTTTTAAATAATTGCATCTCAAAGTAGCAGTATGCTGTGTGATTTTTCATTTGTGTGTTTTTACAGTGAATGAAAAAGGCACCTGGGTCTTTTATCTGCTGCTGTTTAGTTTGGAGTTTCGAAGCCTGTAACATAAAAGCAAATCAGACTTTCTTACTGTTTCAAATTTGTGCTAACCTGAAACAGAGCATCCTGACTCCAGCATATTGCCAAAATTCTGTATTTGGAATATATGAATTGAAGGTTAGTTGGAAAATTATGTACAGCGTGTGCACAACAGGCAAGTTTCCAATCTATTTTTTTTATTTCGGAATTGAATTCCTGTCAGGAGGACAAGGAGCTTTCCTACATCTTTTCCTGTAGTGACTATTTAGCTATGAATTGCCTTACTGCACTAAAATTTGTTTTATAAGAAGGCTGTCTTTTCCTTTACAGATATACTTGTTTTATGTATTGTGTGCCTATTGCAGTGTAAGTTTTGACTATGTAGTCTAACACCATCCCAGATGAGAATTAGCCCTTTTTTTTAGTGTCCCCAGAAAATTCTTCCCAGAATTTGCAATAGATGATTCTTGTGGAATGCAGGAGGCTTCTTTGCCCATACAATCTTAGTCTTTGGTTTGACAAATAGAATACTCCATACCACTAGTGATTGGCAAGAAGGAGGTAAACTTGCCTTGTTCTGTGTATGTTTCTTACAGACCTGGTTTGTAGCTGAAGTCAGTGCTGCTAACACTTGCTAGTAGCTAGTTAGCAGCTTGCAAGAGTTGCCTGCTTTGTGAAAGTCACATGTTCCAGAACTTCTGCTTTTTCTGATTTAGTCTAATGGATTCTGGGAGAATGGTAGGCAAGAAAGTTGGGAAGTAAATGAGAAATATGTTTACTTCAGAGCTGTTTAATTGGCACAGCTGTACCAGCTGAGTCCTTCAGGCAAGACCTGGTTCTAGGGAAGATATTTACTTGTCTTTGAAGCAGAACATACTTCATTTGGAAGCTGCCAAAAGGCAGTACTGAAAGCTGCACTCTGGCCCTTTAGTAAAGATGGGAATGGTAAGTGTTGTTGCACTCAAGCTACCTGATCCCCTCGCAGTGGACAAAATATAATCCGTTTTTTACTAACTTTGTAAGAATCTCTGTGATATAAGCAGAAACGATGAGCTGCTAAACACACTAATCTTTCATATTAGATCACTGTCAATGTCTTTCAGTTTTATAAGCTGTTAATTTGTCCATCAGGCAGGCTGGTTGATGGAAACAAACTACATTTATATCCAGCATGGTAACTAGAAAGAATGGCCCTGGCTGTAGAGCTGAGAGTGATCAATTATGCATGTAAATCAACAAATCCTCTTTCAGTTACAGCAGTCATCAAGCTATATGGCAGGATACATGTGATTTGACTGAGGGAAATCCTAGTGGATATTTGTTATCTTTTGGTATATCATTTGGTACAGAATTCCTGTCTGTAAAGCTAATGAGAAGAAACACACTGCTGCCATGGAGAGTGTTCAGCTTTCACCATCAACCTAAATGAAAGAGCAGGGCCATGCATCTGAAAGCAGGTTTGTCTAACACAAGGCTGGGAGAACTGTTCCATGTTTGAGTTTGTGAATTAAACTGCAGTAGACTCTAAGGTGGTCTAAAAAGTTACATTTGAATGTCTGTGGAAGTAGATGGAAAGAGTTGAGGGACCTCATCCAAAAATATTTTTTACTCTAACCCCATACTGTGAGTGCTTATTTATTTTTGAAGTGTTAAATTACTTCAAGTTCCCTGTTTTTTTCTGGGTGTTTTTTCCCCCCCTAATTTAAGTGTAGAGATACTTAATTTGCTGCAAGTCCCAGAGTTTGTGTGTCTCTATCATGAATATTTTTCACATTGTGATGTCTCATTTGTTTTTTAGCAGTAGTTAATTGCAGTCTGAGAATTGAAAGATAAGGTATTTATTATGCAGATAAATACAAATGATAAATCAAAAGCATTGTATTAGGGGTGTCTGCAGCCGTGGCTACAGTTAGTGTTTAGAGATGAATGATTTCCTGGGTTTTGGGCCCCAAAAAGATGTGAAGGAATAGGAAAGTCTTCACACTAGAGATGGCTAGCCTGTGAAGATCTGTTAACATATATAAAAATGGTATGAAGTTGTGCTCAACTCTGGTTTGTAGCATATACTCACAGTTTTCAGTGTCGTGTTTCTGCCCCGTATTCTTCTTTTTTAAGTATACAAGACTTCTACACTTCATACTGCACCGAAGTTGCAAAGTCTTGTGTCAGGTGCTAAAGACCAAGAGAATTTTCCTATGTGCTTGATGGCCAAGTCATTCTTCGCAGGCACTGAGGCAGCAAATAGCTCTTACCTGATACATTGAAATAGGCAAAATTCTGGTGGAGAGGGTGATGACTTGAGCTTTTAGCAGATATAGGAAAGGTAAACATGACTTAATTGTGATCCTCCTGTAAAGTACATTTTAAAAATGTCAAATGCTGCTGGGGTGGCAGAACTCTCATTTGTGTCAAAACACAGTTTGATAATTTATGTCGAGTAGGGTAAATGGAGTAAGGTTAGGCAGAAAAGTAGGTCTGGTGTCCCCATTAGTGTATTTGTACCACTTCTGCCAACAAATGATATTATTAACAAATGCAACTATATAGGAGCATAATGACCTATTCAGGTGACTAAAGCTGAGATAGGAGGAAACATATGGTAGTGATAAATATAAACAGTGTCTGGAAGCACAGCAGCAGCTTTTTCCAGGGTAGTCAGGTCACTGGTATTTTTTAAAGGTTTCATTGGTGTCTCATGCCTTTTCTAAAACCTCATTAGAACTGGTTATAATCTATAGTTATTTAGGGGCTATATTAGGGCTCCACACGTTCAGCACTGAACTTCCTCATAACAATGTAAAGGCACTTCTTTATGTATAGAACCTTATAAAATTTAGGTAATTGAAGGATTTAGGACAAGTTAAGCAAGTTAAAACTGAAACTCCTAAAATGTCATGTGTATGTATCTCCTTAAATTGTTGTCTGTTGTAGCTGCTTATGCATCTGACCTTCTCAAGGGTGTTGCTTTGTTTCTAGTTTGCATGGTGTGCTGCAAAGTACATTGTGAAGACTGAGAAGTTGATCCTCGTGTAGAGACTCTTTAAACACTATGCTGCCCTAGATTATTGCTCTGAAAGAAGACATGGACATGGCAGGAAACAACACAAAAAGGCAAACTCCTGTGAAATCCTTCAGGACTCTGGACTAAACAATTATTTTTTTTCCTGCAAAATTTCTTCAGGAGTGCCTAGCTGCACTCATTCAAAGGCAGTGTCCTTGGGTTAGGATCAGGATTTTGGGGGTACTCAGCTAGAGGAGAGTTTTAAGTTTTTGTACTGTAAAAGCACAAGGAGAGAGAGAAACTTATTTGTTGATGTAACAAAGAATTCTGCTAAGGTTGGAACTTTCTAAGGTGATGGGTTTTAAATTTGGCCTCCCTTCTTTCTCATCTTGACAGCATTTGAAATGACTTTGTTTTTTTCCAGCAAATAACAAATGATCCTTGTGACTGTGTAATTAACTACACCTTCCCCTCCCCTCCTTCTACAGAGTTTCTTTTCCAGTAGCACAGCCCTGCCAGGAGCAGTACTAGATGGTAGTGCTGTTCTGCTCGCCATCAGGTGGTAGGCTGTTTTTGCTGTTCCTCCTCTGCAGTGCCAACGCTATGTCCAGTTCTCTCAGCTGCTTCAAGAAGCCCCTGTTTGGCAAGATGCACCGGTGTCTTGATACTTGCTCAATGGCATCCACCACTGTCATGTTCTTGTAAATCATCAGGTAAGCCAAGACCAGTGTGGCTGAGCGGCTGCGACCCATGGCACAGTGAACCAGAACCTTGTCTGTGGGAACAAAGAGAAGTGATGCAGAGGTGACACTGGGTAATCCTTTTCTTTAACAATGAAGGTTTCTGTAGTGCCCCTACAGTGTTTGATGGTTTGAATACCCTTACCAGCAATTTGTAAGGCCTGCCTTTTTACATATGGGGAATCTGAGGCTGTAAACCTTACTGTAGTAACTGAACAGCATCTACAGTAGAGATGATCCATTTAATTTTAAACCAAGTATGTTTTTATTTGTGAACAAAGCTTACAGAGAAGGTCTAGGGGCTGCAGCCTTGCATTAAGTAACATAGCAAGCCCTACTGCAGCCCTATCTTACATGCCTCACAAACAGTGTGCATGTAATTCTGTGTTTGGGAATAATGAACAAAGCGCAAGGGTGTGGGAGGATTTAGTATGCTATCAGACCCTCCTTCCATGAGGATAAATGGGATGCATGTGGGTTGCCTTTCTCAGTTCTATTAGCTAGACATAAAAAGTAACCAAACTTGATTTTGTTTTGTTGTTCTGACAGTGATGTGCTTTGAGATCTAGATTGCATCACTTTATGCCCAGTTTTGAGGGCAGAGGATAAGAAAAGCCATAGGCATATAACCAGGGGGTAGAAAGAAACCACCACTTACACTGTAGAAATGCTTCTGTAGAAATCTCTGGCTAGTCACCCTGTTGTGTTTAGTGAAAGTAATATTTCACCACCACCACCCACCATCATCTCTCTGAGTGTTCTAATATGATCATCTCCTTGCAGTAGGAGCCTGTCTTGTATCCTGTGAATGCAGTGTCTTTGCCAATAGTTTTCGTCTCTGGATAAATGTGGCTTGAGATTTAGATTTAGCTTTGTGACATTGCCTGGTTTAACTTGGGGCTTCCAGAGGCAGAGAGTCCTTGGCTTTGCATACTAGCAAGGTGGTAAATCAAAGTGGAAACTTCCATGTTTGCAGTGTCTGTGGGACGTGGAGGAAGAAAACAGCAAGTGGTTAAGGTCTGATTGACAGGTTTTGAAACACTTCAAAAGATTTCCAAAAATGATTCAAAGCCCTTGAGGGGGTCTCACAAAGGGTTGAACTGCTGAAGGAAGTAGATCTGGAGCATTCTCTTTAACACCCTGCTAAGCAATTGCCACAGGAGGAAAAAAAAAAAACCAACGCTATCAGGGCCAATAATAGTTTATCTTTGTGAGCTGTGCCTAGTGAGATGTGTTGGGTTGCAAAGCCATGACTCCTGCTGATTAACTCCTTTACTTCCAGGCACAAGAGGATGTCTTGGCACAAGTAGCGTTGCTGTGTAATGGATGCATCAAGAACTGCCAACACTAGAGGATTAATGGTTACAGTCTGCATCCTAATCCCAGCAGATAGTCTTAGAGGCATCTTGGCAAAATTCCAGTCCTTCTGATAACTAAAAGTGCCTCTTCCTCTCCTGGAAAATTATAATCCATTCATTATTACTGCAAATATTTAAAATGGATGAAAACTCATTTGTTCAGCCCTTCACTGCTTCTCTTTAGAGCTTCCCACCTTGTAAATGGGTTGCTGTTGAGGTGATAAAATACATGATAGGACAAGGAATGCTTTGCTTTGTGTGGGTGGCAAATGCAGGGGATCTAGGAGAAAACGTGGTTTTATATTGTTAGCAAAGGCAAAAAAGGGCTGTATAATTTTCTGAAATGTCTGCTGGTTTGAAGAGAAGTCTATTGTTTGCTGTGTGTGAATAGTCAAGATCTGACTGCCTGTTACAGCAAAACACTGGTACTTTTCTGCAGAGCCACATCCCTTCTGTACTGTTTTGTAGCTTCTTTCATTCTAGCACAAAGACCACTCTGAACTTTCTTTCCCCAGAAAGGAGTCTCCTTTTGCAGATCCTGACCACTTACATCCTTCAAGGAGTGCCTGAGTATCTAGTATCAGTGCACAGAGACAGAGGTCTACTGAGTGGTGACAGGTCCCCTGAACTATTTTGTTCACTTGACTTGGGTTTGTGTTTCTTGAAAATTTATCTCTCTTGATGCAGCAAAGATGGAGCCACGAATATTGAGGTGTCTTTGGTCAAATGCCTGGGGTCTTTGTCTAATATGTTTCTTCTCACTTTGTTTTTTTTCTTCTGTGTCTTTAATGTATTTTTCTTGTGACATTTTCACATGGAGTGAAAATGCCATTCCCTTCTACATCTTGAGGAACTAAAATTGCAAAGGAATGAGTACTAAATCTGTAGCATAATAGGGAACCTAAAAGCCTCTTAAAATAATGTCTTCCTTTCATGTTAGTGAGGCCTCACTGATAAAAATTTTAATCTGTCCTATGGTCTGAATTGCATGTTTTGGGAAAGGTTTATGCACAGCTGAATGACAGCATGCATAATTGCGAACCATTACTGTTTACCTGTAAAACTTATAACTGTTCTTAAGTCCAGCAGCCCATGCTTAAACTCTGCAAATACTGCTCTGATCAAGGAATTTCTTTACCATCATAAAGATCTTGAATGTTAAGTCAGAATTACTGCATTAGGACTGTGTTTTGACAGCATCCAAATTGCCAGGCTTTCTGGTCTGTTGCAGAAAGAGCCTTCTTCATTTGAATGACAACTTGTTTCAGTAACATTGGCTGTTGAGCACCTTCCCAGCAAAAATAATTTTATGCAGACATCTATTCAATTAATGTGATCACTTGACTGGCTGAAGGTCACATGCCAAACAGCGTAATACAGCTGAAGTAAAAAAACATAAATCATTAATACATACGTTCTGGTCACATAAGTTAAAACTTAGTTCTTTCTCCCCCCCCCTTTTCCCTCTCTACATTTGCTCAGTTCTAATGAAAAGCAGCAAAGCAGTGTAATGTTGTTACTGGTCAGAAGTGTTTAACACCACCTGCTGAAATCCCATGTCATTACCACTGGAGATAAGTGCTTGGTTACTTAGTATAAAATCCTGTTTAGGAATCTGGATGCTCTGTCAGTCAGGAAGGTGCACACAAATAGCCTGTTTATTAGGCACTTGAAATGCAAAACACCTTTCTATGCTAGATGCACATCCACAAATTGTGCATTTATGTTGTTGGAGGAGAGCAGTAGTTGCCTCTACTCTTTTCTCTCTGAGAGGCATCAGTCCACTCTTCAGTCTAGCTTCTGGAGTCATTCTGTTCTATAAGTGTTTATTGGAAAGCCATTGTCATGCTTTTAAACCTCAGTGTCTCCCTGGGCCGTGCGTAGTGTCTTTATTCCTGTCTTTGGCTGAGACAAGATGTGCATACATGTAGTGTGCTTTTCCCTCAGGATAAAGTTAAGAGCTTCCTCTTTTTCTTCATGAGCATTACGGTAGTTCTTTATTTTATTGGTCTCCATCAGAATAGATCTTAGCTGTCTATCTTGTTTAAAAGCCGTGTGAATGTGGCAGGCACTGCACAGCTACAGAAATTATTGCAGTTGGTAGTATCTACTTTTTTTGTTTTGTAGTTCATTCAGTCGGTTTTGGATTTGGTTTCATGTTTCAGTGCTGGACTGGTGCTTGGTACTGTCTCAGAACTTCCTGGACTTTGATGTGATTTTGAAACAAAAAGGTTAATACTCCCTCCCACCATCTCATCCTTTCCTACCACAATATTTATTGGAATGCAAGGGGTTTTTTCTAGCCTTTGCTGCTTCCCTTGTGCTTGTTTCTCTACCTCAGTACAGCAGACAAAGGTCTTACAAGAACAGGAGGGTGGTGGGAATGAGAAAGTCTGCATTTCTTATTCCAGCTACTCCAGTCTGATTCTGACCTCTGGCCTCCAGCCATGGCTAGACACGGGTGAGTGTTAGTTATCCCCTCCTTTCCAAAGGCACTGCTTCAGACGTACTTTTTGAAATGCCAGGTACGTTTCTTCACAAGCAAGTAAGCTCCAGGAGCAGTTTCTCTTGCTATTAGGACTTTGATTTTTAAAACTGATCTGCTTTCAAGGTTTTCTCCAGAACAAGGGAAGGGACTGTTGCTGTGGACTGTACTTGCTGAAAGGGTAGAATTGTAAAGACCTGGCTGGCTATTGGAAGCAAGTCAGGTAGTAGCTGGCTACAGCTGAGCTAAACAGGCAAGAACAGAAGCTGACACAAGGCTAGAAACTTGATATCTGACCCTCTGATATTAAGGTCTCTATATGTCAGCAGGAAAGTCTTAAGTTTCTCAACTGGTTTCTGGTAAAATATCCTGTAGAGATTTATTTTTTTTTAACAAGTATGAGAGGGGAAGGAGTAGGAGTAATATTGAAAGTCAGTATGAGGCCTAGCTGTAGCACTTCACATCAGTGTAAAGCTTTCTGATAGAACGCTGCTGGAGATCAGCAAATAATGAATTGTAGTAATCAAGCTGAGAAATTACAAAGACTTTAATGAAATGTTTCTAGATTACTGCTGTCAGAGCTGTTTTGGTTTCCTGCTGCTTGGAAGATGGCAGAGAGATAAATGTTATAGGTTGGGGTAGATCTGATGGTCAGGTAGGAAGGGTGGTTTCTATGTTTATAGAGTGAATCTAATGCTGTAGAGCATGAAGCTGTGGAGTGACAGCATGGAATCTCTGGGAGCACTTGTGTCCAACTCCCACTACTATGCAACTAATATTCATTAAATCTATGTTAATCTGAGGAAAAAACAGCTGATTTGTGGCACCTATGCAATGTCCAATTGTCTCTGATGTGTTTATGATGGAGTCAAAGCAACAACAAAAAATCTTTATCAGACAGGACACAGCTTTATCAAGCTGTGATGAGGACTTTATCGAAGTGCTTGGTAAGGGGCTCTTGGGCTAGTATTAGTGAGAAAGGTCCTAATTACATCACTACCTTGTCTTAAGCTGGTTCCCTACTATTAGCTTTATATTTTCTGTTAACCTATATTGGATTTGTTTCATTCCTACAAGCTTAAATGCTGTGGAACTATGCTTTTAATCGGAGTAAATGTTGAACTGTTTTTAACCATTTTCAGCACCCTCCTTACTTCTTTCATCCTGAAGCGCATTATCAATGAATTTAGAAGCTGAATAAAAGAATTGGCTGAGGTTGAAAGTGGGGAGATCGTCTGCTTCCACTCCATGGTACTCCACAGCCATGTTGTGATAATACTCTGGTCCTGTATCCACGTTCCGCTGACCATGGGCCGCGTTGAGGATGTGGGTGAATCCCTCCTTCTCCAGGCTGTAGCGATCTAATGCAGTTTTTCTGTTAAAACAAGAGCTGTCATGTAAGTCAAGAAGCTTCTTATTCATCAAGCTAGAAAATAAACTTAAGAAAACCTCTGATTTGGCATATTCTAAATGTTAATGATGTAAATGATAATGCTGTAACAATGCATCATTTACCACTTTAAGGATCTTAAGATACTGCCATTTGGAGTGAATAATCTTTCTGGAGTTCATAACTATATCTCCCAGGTCCTTAGAACATGTTGAAAATTAATTTATTTTCCTGTTGCCTTTGTAATGTAGGCAATACTGACTTCTATCCATCTTTTACAAGAAGAAACCTGAGCTAGAGAAAGAAACAGAATGAATTATTTAAAGTCATAAAGGCAAATCAAGTGGCAGAACTTGAAATAGGACCCATGAATGCTGTTTTCCCCTTCTGTCCCATCAATTGGTATTGCAGAACTAAAGAAAAAGTCAGTAATATGTGAGTAGTAAAATCATCTGGGATTCAAAAAGAAGCTCTTCTTCCCCAGAAGAAGTTACTGAGTGTTTCTCCATTTCTTTAAAAAATAAATAAACAAAATGTTAAAAAACCCACCCTTCTGTGAACATTTTACTGTCATGTTTGGTCAAACCAGAGGTCTAAAGCAAAAAGAACTGGATATGGAGATTGGATATTAGCTTTCAGAGGAAGCTGAAAGTCATATATTAGTAGTTTAGCCAAATGTTCTCATTTGTTCTTGTCCTCTCTTCCCTTGGACAAGGGAAGTCAGATAGCAGAGGAAATCCTAGATTTTTGTATGCTCAGTACCCGTGCTGAGTCCTTGCCAGAAGGATGAAATTCCTCAAAAAATACAGAGTTTGTGGACAGGCATGTAAAACTTTTTCTGTTCCATTACAGAAAGCTTTTAGTTTTGAAAAGTTTTGTTCTGAAAAAGCTGTCAAGTTTCATTAGTGCCTAGGAAAACTATTAAGCTTTTTACAAAAAAAAAAAATTGCATAGGCTTTATTCCGTTAATGTATTTTCACATAAGTACTGAATGATGTGCAACAGCTTTTTCCAACCATAAGTACCTTTCTCCGGGAATGTTTCCTCAACATTTCCGTGTGTCACAGCTGTCACACAGGATGTTGTGCTGGGCTACCTATTGTTTCATAATTCTAGCCGTGATAGCCCAGAATAGCTTGAAATTCACTGCCTTTCCAGCCTCTAAGTCAAAACCCCTCTTTGAGCAGTTAAGGACCTAGTGATTAGAACATTTATTGGATATGAATACTGAAGGTTTTACCTGTGCTTGCTTTTATGTAAATTAAGCTCATGATAATTGGCTGTTCTGAGTAGACATGCAGAAATTCCTTTCCTTACTGGTCAGGAATTATAATGTCTTGACATCAATTGTATTTTTGCTAGGAAATAATTTCATAAGTCACCTATAAAATCATGGAAAAAGTAAATAGCTCCAGTTAATGTGGTGATGCCTACATAATAAGCTCAGTAGACTCTGAAGGACAGAAAAGCAGCAGCATCTTGCTGCCAGTGCTGTGCCTTGTCACCTTCACCTCATGTTAAATAACGTGCCTACTCCTTCCCCTTGTACTGGGGTATGGACAGTATTTAAAATTAAACAGGTTAAATGTCCTGGCTGAAGAGTAAGGTTGTAGTGAATAACTACTACTCTTTATTTTGATGTACCTGCTTTCAAGTCAAGTTTTATTTTGTTTTGTCTCCCTGGTGCTGAAATAGAGAAAATATATTCTTCATTCACCAGACTTGGCCCAAGGCATGTATCCAACAAACTGTGTAAGGCTGATGGCTTCAAGTCAGACACCTGTGCTCAACTAGACCCCCTGCAAGTGGAGACCTACATGCTTAGTAGTAAGTAGGACTGTGGAGTAGGTAGGATCAGTAGAAAAACAGTTTTTGATGGATTGTAAGTACTACCAGGCTTTGGCTTCTGCAGGCATTGCTCTGGCTAATAAATAGCATTTGAATTAAATGATCAAGTTTTTCTGAGCAAGGACATCGTCTAACAGTAGGTTGCATGACAATCATTAACATTTGACACTTGTATTTATATGAAATCAAATTTTCCTATTTCCTTGATTGGAGATTGCCTTTTGACACAGTGGGTGCAACTAATGCATTTATTTCTGACGGTCACACTTAATCGTGTTCTGTGTCTTTGGATCTCATTTTTCAGTGCTTAGTGGCCTCTGTTCCAATAGCTATTCAGAAAAAAAAGGGATACTGTCTTCCAGTAGCTTGCATAAGCAGTCGTCTCAGCCTGGCCAAGCTCCTGAGAACTTCCCCTTCCACCTCCGAGTCTTGCCTGTAGCTGCGTTCTGTGAATTTGGGGCCCTTGATGAACTTAATGCTTCTCCTTTTTATTCCATCAAAGGCAAGGCAGTTTGGTGTTCATTTTGCACCACAAATGCATTAGCTGTTCTTTTGCCCTTGACCTGTTGGAGTTTAGGAATATACACGTTGTATATACACTCTCTTAGTTCCCTCTGTTTCCCATGACTTGGGCTAGAAATGGAATCCAAAGCAGCAGTGGATCAACCTTGAATGCTGTTGCAAAAAGCCCGTTATAAATGCTCAAATGTAACTAAGTCAACTTCTCTGAAATAACTTTTTTAAAAGCAAATTGCAAGTGTACCAAGGAAATAGGAGGTTTTCTACTCCTCTGTCTTTGACACTGAAGAATTTATGCTGTTCTCCTCAGTGCTTGGGATAGGCTGGTTTTAAAATGTCATCTGCTTTTTAATTTTGCTTGATATGCAAACTGATTCAGCAATACCCTTTAGACTGAATGGAACCTTGCCCAATGGAATTGTTTTCTTTATGATATAGATACACATTTTCTTCTCTCTACTGACATTGCTAATCTGAAAAACTTCAAGAAAATGAATGTTCAGTGTTGAGCACTCAAATCTGTTAAGTTCTTCACATTTTCACTGGAATAGCTATCACTCAAACTGTGTGTAGGTGTGGTAGAACCTGTTAGTTGAACAAAGACCTAAAATACTTACCCTGTCTACATGGAGCAGGGTCAGTATGGGCCCTGTGGCTCTGTGGCTAGTGCATCTGCAGGCTGAGCTGTTGCATGCAATCTGCGAAGAGGATGTCAGGCACCTTCCTTACAGAAGATATCCTGTGCAACATATAATGTTGTGTAGACATATGAAGAAACAGTTGTTGTGTAATAGAAAATAGGGTTCATTGGACTGCAAGAGGTGCTTGCCTTGGGCTTTAGAATCTGCATCTTTTGAAGAAAGCTGAAGTGACACTTAATCTTTTTGAAGAGCAGAAATGTTTAGTTTCAAACCTGATACGGAGATTAGAAAGCACTTTATGCTCTTTCTTCTTTCTCACCATCCTCCCAGTCTTGCATTGGATAATCATATTTTCATAGAAGATCTCGCTACTGTTCTTTGAAAATTTTTCGTCTTTTTTTCTTTCTTTTCCTTGTAAAATCTGTCCCCAAAAACTAGGCAAAGAGCCCAGCTGGACTACCACTTTTCATTCTGGGTCAGGTTTGTCTGCTTTTCAACTCCCATCAGCCATGTTTTCACTTTGTGCTTTGATCTTAAATATTACCAGGCAGAGATGGCCTGTGCTGAGACTCGGCCATAATATAGGCAGTTAAACTTGAGGTTGTTTTGGGTTTGCAATCTGTTGATTGCCGGTTAACAGAGAGCAAGAAGCAGTCTGTTAAGCCCTCATAGAGGGGACCTGTAAATAGAAATGTTACTGTGCCCCTTACTGGCTTTGTGTAAAGGACCGGCTTGCTTTCCAACCTCAGCTGAATCTGTAGTGTAGATGCCACTGTGAAAGCATCCCTCTATCTGCACACTGTAATCAGAGCCTACAGGGGTTTTTGTGTTTCCTCATGCGTGATTGTTCTGGTTACACCCCAAGGAGAGGGGAATACTTTTGGTCTTCCTTGCAGTTTGTACCATGCCTGAGGTATCAGTATTTTAGAGGAAGGGGAGGAATAAATCAAGCATAAATACTTGAAAATATCCAATTGGTTGAGGTTACTAATAGCTTGGGAATGATTCAGGGGTATAAGATTCACACACTTTATTGAAGGATTTATAACTTTGTTTCTAATTCACTTTCAACTAGAAATGGCACAGATTTTTTTTCCTTGTAGTTGGCTCACTACCAGAATGTAATAGTCAAGCTAACAATATTCTTCTTTTCCCCTCCTTGGGTGCTGCTGTTTCCTATTAAATTGCAATTAATACTTCCATTTTTGTGATTATGGTTGAATTTTAAGTAGCCATTTTAAAGACGAGTTTGCTACAAATGCCAGTGTAGGTGAAGCCATAAGCATTTGACTGCTCTTACAATTGTTTTCCTTTTGTATATCTCTACCATCTGTGCCATTAGCACTTGATTTCCTTTTACGTGGTGCAGCTGAGGTTTCCAGTATCTGTCTTGAATGTGTTCCTGTGCAGGGAAGGTGAAGTGTGACACTGGGAGATAACAGTGAAAATTTCGGTATAATTCAGTTTAGTAAGAGATGAACTGGGCAGATTGGTCCCATGCAAGAGCTCTTCAGTTTGGAGCACATAAACTTATGCTAGAAGTTAAGCATACCCAGAAGTCCTTTTCTCTATGTTAAGCAAAAGCTCAGTGCTTTGCTGAATCAGACCCTGCATTTACTGTGGGGCAGATGGATTCATAAACATGTTTTTAAAGTTCTGAGGTAAAGGGGAGTACTTTGATGTGGGAATGCCACCTAAATGGTGAAAATTTGAGATAACATCCATTTTACATAGGGATATATTGATACTAACAGACCCACCAAGAGGGAAAACAGACCCAAACGAAAGTATCATCCATTTTCAGATAGTTCTCAAAAGACTATTTACATCTCTTGGGTTGTGCAAGGGCAAGTAAAGGGCTTGTCCAAGGCTTTAACTGTGCCTGGTGTCAGTTTTAAGGCTAAGATTCGTAGGATTAATAGCAAGTGCTGCAGCAAACTCTGCCTTCTTCTGGAAGCAACAGTGTAAGTAGTTATAACAAGAAAGAAATGCTTTCTTTCAGGTTGCTGTCTCCAGTGTACCAGATCCCTGCTCTCTCTTTCCAAAAATACTGTCATAACAAGCTTCCGTCCCAGCTGCTTTCATCAGAAAGTTGCCCAAACCAATGGAGTTGGAAGAGAGGGGAAAACAACTTACAGGCACTGCAGCCTGCACCTCCACATGAAGTATTAAGTATGTTAAAAGCAACTAACAAAGGGAAGAGAAGGCGGCTCATAATGAAAACACAAGTGCATCTGAAGGAAGGGCGGTAATCCTCCAAAATACCTGTTGAGGGTATGGTAAGTCAGCACCTCACAGCTGGTACTGGTCAACCAGATGAGTGGTATGCTTATAAACTTTGTGTAGAGCCAAGCCTCTTAAACTTCATGCAAAGGTTGCGCAATGCAATCATGTTTCAGTATAGACCGTTAAAGCCACAGATTGTCGTGACCCAGATTGACAAAACACAAGGAAATCTGAGGCAACATGTTACTAGGAGAGGAATTGTTTCTCTCAAACTTTTCCATTTTCTTAAATGTTGAAGGAAGGCTCGATGCAGGATGATAATTTACCAGATGGTCAGTGTCAGAAAGAAGCTTCCTGAATATAGGCAATATTGACACTTTCTTAAGAAAATCTGGCAGTTCTCCCTCCTGAGGAGAGATGTTGAGAATTTCCAATAATACTGACCCAATTTTCTTTGGTAACTCCAGCACTAAGGGAGTCTAGAGATAGCACAGCATTGTATCCCCTTTTCCTTCCGAGGTGTTGCTCCGCTTCTGTGGATACCTCCTGTTCAGTGTGAATTAGAAGAATTTTTAGGTACCGCTGAAAATACTGAACAGGATCTTCAGAATATGTGGTAGTTCATTTTCCTAAAACCCAAAATGGTGGATGTAGTTTTTGTCAGTGATACAACCTAGATACAGGAAATAGCTTTCTGCAAAGGCTCCAGGCACATGTGTTGTAGTTAGTCAGTTCCTGGTCTTGACTTCAGTCACTCATCAAGTGTTAGAAATCACCTACAGACAGAGATGTTTTGTGGGAAAGTGTTACTTGTCTTGGAAACCACTGGAGCTTTGAGGTTTATGGTCCAGTGTTACAGATCTGATTTTCTGGATTGTTAAACTGCTGTTACAATTGGCAGATTCTCATACTAACAGAGTTGAAACTATGTCCTCAAGAGTGTTGTTATAATCTAAATCTGCATACACTTCTCTCTTTATATGATTAATACTGGTGTAGATGCTAGGGGCTGATAATGCTAAATGGTAGGAGGTAACTGTTTTCTACCCTGAGTGAGTACAATCTGCTTCCTTCTAGATTAATGCAAATTGTCTTTCTACTTAGTCACTTGGAAAAAGCCATACTGTACTGTTTTTCTGCAGAAGGGTAAGAGGACAGAATGAGTTTTAGCTAAGCATGTATTTAGTGTTTAGTTATTTTTCTTAATTATCATGCACTCCAGTTTGTAGTTTTGAGTTACTTGTGTGTCTTGTTAAACCTTTCCTGTATTTGTTCTCAAGACCATGAGTCTGAGACAAGCACAGACCATGAAGTGCAACCTCAGTTCAGCTGCAAATCCAGAAAATTATTTTTCATACTTGTAGAGAATTAGACTCCAGAAGACTTCTTTTCCTCTGGGAGTAGTTTGAGAACACAGGAAGAACTGAAACTGTGATCAGACTTTAAATCCTAGTGAGATCTAGTGGACAGTTAAGAGGAAAACAAATTCTTGGGGGGCCTTTTCAACTGAAAGACAAGTTTTGAACTTCAGAAATGTGGAACCCTTAACATCATCGCAGGTAATAAGGCCATCACTGAAGAGCTGCAAGAAGAAACTACAAGATGTATAACTGGCAGAGATTTTCCAGGTGATTGGGGTGGAACAAGCAGGCAGTAAAACTGCCTGTGGAAGTAAGCAGGTGACCAGTGAAAGAAAGAAGCAAGACAAAACTGCTTTCTATCCCTTTAGAAGGCTTCTAGATGTGAGGAGGATGCATGCAAGCACTAATCCTGGTAGCAGTTGAATCAAATCTTGGCAAAGTGTTTTATTCCTATCACTGTGCTGTCTCATACAAGTTCCAGTGTCTGGTCTTTAAAAGTCCTTGGAACTTGCTGGAGGAAAATTTCAATTGGAGCTGAACACAGCATGTTATATTTTGAGGCTTTGATTATTCTGGGTCTGACAGGCTCATGGAGATTTCATTGCCTCTGGGCAACATCTGCAGCAAAGCCTTGTAACAAAAGGATTGAGTGGCCTCACAGGGCTCCCTGATAGCCTGTATTGCATTAGAAGGAAACTAGTCAGGGTAATTAATTAGCATTTCCATAAGCAGTCACAAGTCCTGTTAACCTTGTGAATGCAGGAGGCAGGAATAAAGCACAGATGTGAAGGCTCTGAAGATAAACTTTGCATGCGTGTTCACTTGATTTTGTTGATGAGTTCCCCTAAATTCTTTCAAGATCAACCTTAATTTAGCATGGCTAAAGATGCAAATGCACACAACATCTGTTAGTGTCTCCATGGCAGCTCTTTGGCCACCAGTGCTACAGCTAGGTCTTAAAATAAAACAATACAAAAACCCCTGCCACACTGAAGGGGTAAGCTGTTGGTCAGAAGTACGATGTGGAACTGGCTGAGGAAAGATATGGAAGTCCCTGAACTTTGCCTGCTTCAAGTCAAATTTTAGTTATGGTAATGAAAGGCTGCATCCTTCCTGCAGACCAGTTCTTGTCTCAGATTTCCTCCCATGTCAAGTTTACCCTTACCTGGCTGACAATAGTCATTCTCTTTTAGGGAGTCGCGTTTTCTGGTGAAGTTTTATTTCTGTTCACCCCCCACCTGCTCCTCACTTGTTTTTCCTTCTCCATTCGTTTTCTCATTCTTTTATCTTGTCCTGTGTGGGACCTGTTTCCCTTTGAAGCACCACTGGTTTTCTTCCTGATGTAAGACCAGTCCCCTGCAGAAATATACTGCCCAGCCTAAGTGAGTGTAGCTCCAAGTACTTCTCAAGAAGCTTGTATTTGTGTTCCTCTTGTTAGTTTATAAAAAGTGCCAAGTGTGTGCTGTATTCAGAGTAGCACCTCCTAGCATTTACTGAATTGCAAGGTGTAACAAGCCACTGCTACAGGAATGATTGCAGGAAAGGCTCAGTGACTGGTGTCCTGGGCTTAGAGACTGACTTCTTGTCTTGTTAAATCCCTTTGCTCAGAGGGCACAGCTATAGCTTCATCACAGAGATAAGAGGGATATTCTTTTAACAGCTTCATTCAGAATAATTCTGCTGGTGATTCTGAACAAGAAAGTAGGAAATAAGTGCCAGAAGAGGCTGTATTTTAGAGTGAATCTTGAGTTAGAAATATCTAAAAGGAGGGGCAGGGTAGGATGTGGAAAGGAAAACTAGACCTCCTTTTCTTGTGTTCCTGAATCATTTGGCCAGGCTGTTCTCATGGCTTAATTTTTTTATGCCACACCACACGCATACACTCCCACCCCCACATCTAAAAGTGGGAGCCCTGGCTTGGTCCAAGGCCAGAACTCTTGTGTCTTTCTGTTGCCTCTGGCGCCACAGAAGTAATTGGTGGATGATATTAGGAGTCTTGTAACTTTCAAAGCTGTATATCTTTCCTCTTTTATAAGCTGGCAACAGATGAATTTTAGGACCTTTTAAAAAATTATTGAGAACTTTGGAGCCAGTGGGGCTCCTACTTGTGCCTTTCAGTGATGGTGTAAAATAAATGTCATGTTAGTGCAGAGTGTAGAGGAAAGTGGGAATTGGACCAATAATGCCTAAGGGGTAAGGAAAGCTCTCTTGCTCTGCTCAGGGTTTGGGTTGGGGGATTTTCTGATGGCATGTCTCCCTGCTGCAGCAGTCATCTCTGCTTGTTGGAATAGGCTGTTTCTAGTTTAGTCCTGTGCTCAGCAGAACTAAGTCTGTTTTGTGGGTTTTTTTCCACATCACATTTGGTCTGATCAGTGAGACACATCTCTGCAGCTTTGCCTTCCACAGGGTTCTGGTTTTTTTAACCTCTTGAGCAATTTGGAAATGCACAGTGTTCCATGTACACAAGCACAAGCTTGGAAATTCAGAAATACCACTGCAGGGTGAGCTGTGTCTTTAGTCACTTTTCAAGAATTAGATTTTAGGCCTAAGCTAACTGAAGGTGTAGTCCAACACATCTAGGCCATGCTAACTGTGGAATGATTTCCATTCAGAGGTGAATGACAAATCACTCCTTGATACGAACCACTTAAAAATAGATCACGATGAGCTTCAACTTTTGCAGCCTACAGTGGTGCCACAACCAGTCCTGTTACTTTGCCTTTAACAGCAGACCCAGCTACACCTAACCTGTGCTTTTTTGTAGAGCAGATGTACTATGTACACTTACTCATCTCCTATGTAGAGGTTGGGCCAGACTTCATTGACGTGAGTGTACTTTGGGCATCCCTTCCAGAGGAGTCGCTCCAGTTCAAATGCCCCTGGGGTACAGTAGTCCTCTTCAGGATCTACTTTGATTGCTGTGTATGCATTTTTCTTCGCAGCATTCCAACTTCCTGATGACATTTTATCCATGGAGTAGCGCTCTTGGGACGTGCAAGAAACTGGAATGCAACCAAAGCAGATCATTAACCTGAGGAAGCACAAAGGAAGTGACTTCTGCTCCAGCTGTGGGACACTGGGAACAGCACTGCCCAGGTGTGACTGGGCTGCACATTGTATGAGATGGATGAACCTGCTCTGTGGCAATCACAGACTGGCACCTGGAGTTCTGCCCCCCCCAAACTAAGCAAGGAATATGTTCTTGGAGGAGCTCACCAGCAATCAGAACAAAACCCAAAGGTTTGTGATTACTGAAGTTCAGTCTCCACTGGGAATTTGTTTCCTGGAAAATCCACTGGTAAGAATTTGGTAGGTCTAACAGCTAGGGTCTAGAGCACCTAGGGGAACTGAGTGGAGAAAATTTAATTATTTTTTTTAATTATTAATTAAGAATTTTCTAAAGCCTTATCCTTTATGTGATTTTCAGCAATGCAGGGAGATGAAATGTGTATTCAGGTGAATGTTGGGTATACCTGTTCTACTCTCTTCTACTCTTCTGTTTCCTGTTTTGCCAGCTGAAAACTTTCCTGTTATCTCTGTCTCTGTGTGGGCTCTGTCTTGTTTCTCCTACTGGGACTCCCTGGTGTCTCAGGGGAGCAGTTGCTCATGTCTCTTATTCTCTTGAAGGGACAGGTTGAAACTTGGGGTTCTGTAGGAGACTCATAATAAGAAGATGTGGAGTTGGGCTTGATCTTCTGAAGTGAGGAAGTACAGCCTGCCAAAAATCCACCTACATTGCAAGCAACAAATCCTGTAGTGGCTCCCAAAATTTTTTTATGTTGGCTGTTTTTGTCCTTTTAATTACAAAAATCTGGCTAATGCCTTCATGCAGCTATTGGAGAGTTCTCCTGAAAGCAGGATGGCCATATTTCACTGACATCCCATGTACCCATGGGGTTTGTTAGTTCAGTTTGGGCTCTTTTGTGCTTGTCATGTTCTGTTTCTCTGCAAAATTTGAAAAAGCCAAATGATTCCTGTTTTCCTACTCCAAAGCTGTGCAAGATTGTGGAGTCAGTTTTTGTTTGGCAAAGTGTACACCTTTGTTCAAAAATTGGCTTGCTTTCACTGGCAAGGGGATCTGTGGTTTAGACAAGCTTCCTAAAACATGATGATGATGTTTAGCTAAGTGGTCCTCTGTTGAGATTTGTAAAGGGCTCTGAGAATTCCAGCTTCTAGCAAACTTACCTTGGGCTTGGTCTTGCGTGCCTGTGGTGTAGCATCAAATCCCATCTCTCTGCCCCAGCAGCCATGCCCCAGGACAGCCTTTTCCCTTACCATTCCAGAATTATGCTAATTCTACATGCAGACTTATTATTATCTGTAGATAATGTTAGACTATCAGAGATACAAATCTAATACAGTCTGACTTTGGGAGTGATTAGGCTGTTATCTAGAACTTGATAAGAACTGCTATTTATCTACTGAGGAATTATCTTAACTGAGAGGCTGTTGCTTTGATGCTGAAGGACTGACTACTTTTATTCATAGCTCCATAAAACGGGAGAGGAGGAAAGGAAGGGAAGAAGAGAAAGCAATGTAATCAGTAGTCACAGTTGGTTGCCACAGTGTATTGATTTGTTACACCTTAGAACAGGGCAATTACATCTGCAGATGATCGTTTGTGGTACTGTAACACCAGCGCAGTTTGAAGCTTGGGTAGCACTCTGAAAGTTAGACCACTGCTGAGAAATACTTGTTTCTGTCTGTCCTGGGAAGCCATATGCTCCCTGAACTTTCAAGTACGCTATGTTCTTTTATGCCTTGCCAATGTTATCTGCTGCGGGGATTTTTAAATTGAGTTAGAGAACAGGAAAACATCAGTTGAAATTCCTCTAATAAAACATGTATTTCAGATTTGACTCTAGACTAAGTAAGAAGTAACAGAGTTTAAATAAGAGGAGGGGAAGGGGACTGGTTTGCTATTTGAACTCTGGCATTAGTTGCCATGAAAGTGGCAGAAGGACAGAAGGGCTTGTGTTTTTCCAGGACTCAAAGATGTCTAACTTCGTATCTTAGTGGTTGTTCTATGTACACCAAACAGAGCTGAGAGAAGGCCAGCCCTCTAAGAAAAAAAAGTGAAAAGTAGACTGGATTTTTTTGGTGTGGGTATTCTTAATGCTGTTGTGGGTATTACAGGGACGACTGTTCAGCGCGAGCCCAGGCAGGGAAAGCTCAGATTTCTGTTGCAGACCTCTGGGGCAGGGAGACCATCCCTTGCGGAGTGTTCACCCATTGCAGTCAGATGGCAGACAGATTGCAGAGTTACCTCTGCACAGGCTTGTTGGAGCAGGCTCCCACCCCCTGTGGTGCTTCATTTGGGCTAAAATACTTTGCATTATAGATGAGTTAGTGCAGGCTGAATGATGTAGCAGTGCAGCTTCCCTGTACCAGCTTGGTACCAGGAGTTCCCTTCCAGTGAGGCAGGGCAATCTGCGGCTCATCCCACTCTTTCCCTGTGCCCAAGCCACGGCTTCTCTCCTGCCCTGCTGGGGTATGCCAAGGCCAGGCTGTGTGAGCTGCTGAGACCTTCCCGTTCCCACCCTGTGGTGCTGGTCAGGAGCCAAGGGCTGGGTCCACCTCAGTAGGGCCCTGCAGGTGCTCAAGCCTGTGAGGTTTCACCTGCTGAGCCCAACATCCTGTGGGTTCTGCCGCTCAATCCAGCGTGTGCAGGGAATGCTGAGCTGCCAGCGCTGTCATGGACTTAAGTGTATTATCAGAACAAGGATGATAAAAATTCAGTCATCTGCATTTTTATACCCTAATTTTTCTCTTCATAAATAAGACCAAAGTGCATGTTATCTAATAAATTTTATTTGTTAATCACTTGGATGGCTGAAATATTTCTCCCCCTTGGGTTATATGTATATAAATGAAAATATTGTTAGTGATTTCACAAAATGGTAATTCAGAATAATGGAGAGTTAATCCTCTTTTCATTAGTGAGCCACTTCAGGACATACACTGTGGCAAATTACACTGCATTTTAAGTCGTTCTCAAGTGCTGTGCACTAGAAAAAAAAAAACATTAAACTAGTTTTGCATTGATAGAAGTAATTGTGTGGCTAATTTGGATAAGCAGCATGCATTAGGCATAGCAAAGGAATCTCTTCTTTATGTTCACTATCCACTCTACAGCTGCCAGATGGAATTTCTTATACAGCTCTTTAGCTTTTTTTATTTTATTTTTAACAAAACAGGGAGGGAGGAAAGAAAGTGCAAGGGGGGAAAAAGGAAAATCTGCCAGTCTATCTGCTGTTTAATTCAGAGCATGAACACAGTCTAGTGTCTGAAGCAGTAATATGGCAGTGAAAGATTTCCCTTCTGCACCATGTTTAGAGTCTCTTAAACTATTCAAATTAACCCAAAATTTCCAGTAAAGCCCTGTGAAGTCACAGAATGTAGTCCCCACTTTCAAATTTGTTCAACAGGAGAGATGTGCAACGCCACCACAAAATTTGTAGGGGGTTACTTAATGCTTTTAGGAATGTCAGTCATGAGCTCTACAGTTTAGTAATCCCACAGATGGGGAAGAAAAACTGAGCTTCATGTCTGGAGGTGAATGTCAGAGCTTCAGGGATGGTGTGTACATTTCTAATGCTGGTTTTCCACATGTAGTGGAAGTTTCTGAATACTTTGAGACTGAAAGCTATAAGTCATTAGCTACCTAACAAAATACTGTGTTTCTTAATATCTTTGGCTCAATGTGCTATGCAAGCCCTAGTGCTGTGTATAAAGATGCCAAACAATTCGGCAAGATTTATGACTGGGAGTTAAGATCCAAGTCAGCTGTAGAGACTTAAAAAGAAAAGAAAAAAAGCAGACATGCACAGACAAGGATTGCATTTGCCCTTGTCCTCTGCAAGGGCCTAAATACCCTCTCCCCTTCTTTTCTGCACCCCTCCCTGACCCAGGGGGTTTCTCCATCACTGCTGTTGTCCCAAGCATATGTGCTCTGGCTGCCAACTTGTGGCTGTATTTGTGTGCCTGAAGCTACTGATCTTCAATGAGGTCAGAGCCCAGTGGCATTGGTAAAAATATGCAATGATAGAGGCTAAACAAGTAAAAGGTTGGAAGAAAAATGGAGATAGAGGACAGTTTTCCTCACTCTTCCCTTCAGAAGTATTAGCTGTCCTATCTTGCCTGGCATAGGGGCATAGAGCTTCCTTGACTTAATGCCCACTTCAGCCCATATTTATATAGCAGAATAGTTGAAATTCTTTGCCACCCATGTTTCCTGCTATTGGAAGTTCTCCCAGCCCATATGACATCAATCACCTGTGCTAGTGGGGCTTTTGATGCTGGCTTTATTAAATTTAATTTGGTCTACACAAGTGTACCAGGCTTGGTTTTGTAGTCACAGTTATCTAAAAGCTACTTCTCCTTGAAAATACCAGCAATGACAAATTTATCTGGTTGAGCTTGGAAGTGAAGGTTTTCAGCATTTAGCAAACACCTAAATATATAACCTGTTTGTAAATGTGGAGGCAGATTTGAATCTAATTCCTGTTTTGGTGCTTTCAGATTTTGCTTCCTACCTCTTTCCTCATGTCAACTCTGAGAAAGGAGTGGAGCTGTGGTATCTCTGGGAGTTTTTTTCCAAGATGCCAAGGGAGGGAAAGAAAATAATGAAAGCAGACTATCTGTCAGCTCTGAGCCTTTCATGAGGAGTCTACAGAAGTAATGACATATCCATTAGACTTTACACCTGCATCAGTGCAGGGGGAGATAAACATGGTGCCCTTGAAATTAATCGGTGGTTTGACCCTCAAGTCCAGGGCCCGAAATAGTTCATTTACTGCCATGAATGCTAAATTCAAGAGAACAAAAAAGTGGGAAAGACAACTCTGTAATTTTGATTGAGAAATTATTTTTGTGCATGAAGAGCTTGTTACTAAGAATTGATTCCCATTTTTCTGATGTTGCATGGAGAGCTGACTTATTTGAATGTTTTTATTTATCAGGTAGAATTCAACACCACTGAAATTGAAGGACGTCTATTTTCCAATGATTCAAAACTGAGACCTTCTTGCTTTCCAGACAACTGCAAAAATAATGTTTTTATTTTTATTTACTTCCTCCTTTCAGTTTAATAACTATCTTAGGTAAGACCTTCATGGAGATACAGTGTCTGTAACAAGTGTTTACAGAGGGAAATACCTGAGAGAAGATAAGGATGGAGAATACCAGTTCTTCCATACTTTCAAAAAAATGTGCAAAAGGCTTGAATCTAGTTTGTAATCCGTCTCCAGGGAAGCACTTGCACAGTGCTGGAGGCAGACAAAAATCAGATCTAATGACTGAGGGTCTTCAGAAATAGTGAAGGAGGTTCTACTGAGCAAGTTCTTGAATTTTTAAGAAATGTTCTGTTCTTCCATTTCCAGCCCACGTGCCAGATACATACCTCCCTTCAGGGTGAAAAAGTGCCTACCCTTTTTGAGTGTGACTAAGCAGAGGACTGTTTTATAAACTGGAAAGTTCTTGCAGAAGCCAATGCACATGCTGTCTGGAGTGCAGTGTTTGCACTTGGGAGGAGGGTAAACAGTGCTTTGGTTTCTAAGCTTTTTGTGACTCAAAGTACATCAGTTGAGCTGAGAGCTGGTCAGCTGCAGTAACATAGGCTTGCTTTGTCGGATGATTTAACTGAATGAATTTAAAATGGTGCTCCCTGATATGCCATGCCCATGATGTTTTGCTTAGGACTCCAGAGGCTGGCAGCAGCTGTGGAGAGAGTAGTGTGCTTTCCTGTGTAACCTTACACTTGCTGCACCCCAGGGTACTGCAAAGAGCTGTGGTGCTGCAAAGGTTCCTTGGGTGCGTTTTTGATTTGTTGTTTTTGGTTATTCCCCCCCCTCCTTTCCTTATACAAGGACGAAAATATTAATCTTTTCCAAATACTTCTTGGGACAGAGGAGAAGTCCTTCAAAAATTTTTTTCTCCAGAAGACCCCTAAAAGAATTAAGTGAATTCCAAAACTGGAATTCCCCAGGTACCTGCAGTATACTTAGCCAAAAAATAACACGGTCCTGTGTTCCCTCTTCCTGTCCTAGTCTTCACCAAAATTCATTTACTTCAGTTCCTTTATTTTACCCCTGCATTCTTATGCTTAAAGCATTCAAGGACTGTAAAATAGTTCATCCAATGCATTCATCTTTAAACAGCTTAAAACCAGAAGAATCATAGCCTCTGTGCAATTATTTCCCAGACCCTCCTGCTGTGAATATTCAAAACTAACCAGTTATTTCAATGAATTTCTAAGCCACTGATGACTTTAAAAACTTATTTTTGCCCTCATTCTTTATTGTTGACTGGACTGGTTAATTTAAAACAGATTAAGCTGAGATTTCATTAAATATTGTGAGAGTGCCCAAAGAAACTTAAGACACACCATCATTTGAGAGAATTGCAATTCAATTGGAAAAGTTAGATTAGACTGGAGGGTGGAGTAATTGTTGAAGAATAGGCAAAATATTCTGGGACAGATGTTACAAATTTTAAATTGCATTTTTATTCCTAACTTTTAAATTGTAATTATCTCTAAAATAAATACCCTTTTGACATCTAATTATCTAATTTTTAAAGTGATTCCTGTAACATGACAAATTTGGTTTTCTAAAATTATGAATTATACCTTCAGAAACTTTTTGATGCTGTCATAATTTTAAACTTTTTTTTTTCTCTGCAACAAGTTTATGAAATTAATAGTTACCCTGCAAAGCTCTCAATCCTCTCCCTGGTTTACTAAACTAGGTTATAAAAGGAAGAAAAGGAGCACAAGAAGTACAGCAGAAAATGTATGTTGGTTAGTCTTACCTGTAAGCTTAGGTGGGTGCTGTAGGTAAGTGGGTCCTGTGAAGTGCAGCAGAACGACAAAAGAAACCTTACTAGCTTTGCAACTAGAGTCTATTTTTAGAGGAGGATTTGCTGACTCTGACCTTGAGTGCTAACCCTTCCAAATGACGATCTTTATATCTGCTGGTAGAACTATTCCCTGATGTGACCTGAAACATTAGACCTGGCAATTTAGTTACCTAGTCTTGGTATGACTAAGATAATATGATGCCTACATGTTGACGGTAATAAAACAAAACTCATCTTTTATCTTGTCCCCTTGTCAAGCCCGATGCTATGTTTACTGCTGCACGTGGGTGAGGAGCATTGCACTGCTGTTTCCTGTCATGCTGTGCACAAGTGGTTTGGCACTGGCACAAAAATGGGCAATAGGGAAGGTGGCATCCTGACAAAGCCCTTGGTGCACTACCAGAAAGCCATCTTCCCCTACCTACTGTCTTGGTTTTCTTTGGTGCCAACACTCCTGGTATCCATCTGACTTGTGAAATGTCTTTCTCTGCTGAGAAAGCCATGTGGTGCTCAGCCCTGCTCAGTTCTGGTGACAAGAGCATAGCTTGCCGAAAAGAGGCAGAGGTACACTCTCCAATGTTTGAAAATTTGTCAACTTCCCTAAAGAGGTTCCCTGAAAAGCTCCATGCCTTCCTATTGAAGAAAGCCTAAAACTTTCTCTGGTAAGTCACAGCCAGATTCATCAAAGATCAAATCTGGGTTCCTTGGTGTCAGAGCTACACCTCTTCCACTCCAGCACTTTGTCCATTGCAAGAGTGGTGACTTTCCTGGCCTGCAGGGCTGTTTGCTAGGGGGATTGGTGATCGCATGAGAGCAGCTGGTACATAATATCCTCTGCCTGGGCATTTGTTCTGCAGCAAACCCTGCCTCAGAGCTGCCAACTCGGTCAACAACATTAGGAGTAACGAGATTTTGGTGCTGTTGGAGCTAGGCTTGCAATGACATAAGAAGATCCAGCTATCACATGAGTATTGATATTTCTCAAGGGAAGTTCTTCAGATCCATTGCCTTGTGCCTGGGAATGGGGAAAGGAGGCAAAGAGGCCAGTCAGGTCAAGCACGTGATACTGAGAAGTAGCCCATTGGTCTCTGGACCTGCTTTCCTTCTGTTGAGATGACCATCCTGGAAGTGATCTCTCTGAGCAGACCTGCCTGAACTGCTTGCCTATCTTTCTGGCTCACAGTGCTCTCTATTTTCACCACAGTACCTGCAAAAAGCAGCCAACTGTTGATGAAAACCTACTGTGGAACTTTTTTCATTTCTTGCAAGAACAGACACATTCTTCTGTGCCTGACCAAAGTTTCAGGCTGCCCAAGTGTTTTTTACCAAAGCATCCAAATCACACAGTAGGTGCCATTAACTTTCAGTGGGACACAAATTCCTGACCATATCAGTTATTTTTAACATTGCTTCGAATTCTTTCAATCTCCTTTGTCATCCCCTGTCTGTTTAAAACATAAAAGTTCATCCCAGAAGGACCAGGGCCAGACTTGGTCGTGGCCTGTGGCTAATACTGCAGTACAGATGTGAAGTAATAACAAACAGTTTCAGTTCAAGTTCTGGGCATTAGATCTGCTGCTGTTTCATGCAAACAGCATCACTCTAGCCAAGTTTCTGTATTACAGAGCAGCCAAGCTCCTCCCTGCCAATTATTCAAATAGTCGCTCTTAAAATGAGAAAGAGCTTAGATGTTAGAAACCTGCTGTGCCTTCTAAGTTACCTTGTAAGGTTGTTGTGCAAATTAATTCTTTACTGATAACAGAGAAACTTTGTGGAGAAGGAGATACAGACCCCATATAATAGAAACTAGCACTGGTTGCTTTTTTATCCCTACAGGTGACCCAGCATGGGGGAATATGAGTAAGGTGATACAGCAGACCGGCAGTGCTGGTGAGAGGAGGCTGCTCTGTGAGGTGTGTGGTGGAAGGCAGTGGTCTGTTGCTTGTCTCTGACCAAGGTTGTCTTTCTAATATCAGATCAAAGGCATGACACTGTTTTGTGGTATTGTTTTTTTCAGGCAAGCATCTGAAAAAGAAGTATTTTTGTGTCTGACTGGCTGTCAAAACAACATGAGCCCTTGTGCCCCTCTCTCCATAGGGTCCTGAGAACATGTAAGGAAGATACCTCACTTTCTGGAAAAGTCACAGAATGCATAAGATTGGAAGGAACCACACTGGGTCATCTGGTCCAACTTCCCTGCTCAAGCAGGGTCATCCTAGAGCACATTGCACAGAATTGCGTCCAATTTTTGGGACCAGTTGTTTGTGTTTTCATTAGTTTTGGTTTTGCTAATGAAAAAATACTAACTTCTGAGATGTTTTGAAAGTGGCCAATCACTTAGAGTGCTTGGGAGCCTCGACACATGGAAAACACACCAGGAAGGCTCTTATTTTGGAAGAGGTGAGCACCTCCCTTCTGGAAAGTTGAATAGTTGCCTTTGACTCCTAAAAGCCGATGTTTGCCATGTTATTGGTAATTTCTGAAAATCTTGGCCAGGCTGATGATGGTGCTTTGAACACACAGATCACTCCCCCTTCCTGGAGCCTTGCCTGCAGTCAGCCTGCTCATGTTCCATGGGCAGGCCCTGCTGTTGGTGATTGACTCTCAAGTGCCATCACCCGCTGTCCCTGTGTGCCTGTCTGAGCACAGCCACTGCCCAGCCCTAGAACTTGACCCCAGGGCAAAATTCATTATCCCTTCATTTTTCACATGTATTCTGAAACTGTCAAAGGGCCGTCCAGGAACAGTGCCAGACACTGCTCAGATACATGATACAATTCCTAGCCTAGAGAGCTGATGCTATAAATGGAAGAAACAAAGGCTTAGATGGGAAAAAGGATGACACCCAAGCAGAACGAGTAAGACTGTGGCCAAAAAATTGCCACTGACCAGCTTCCTAAGTGGCGCTTTCTGGTACAAGGGTACGGAGCTGTGAGAAGGATGAGAACTAAAGTCCCATCCAGAAGGAAGGGTTGGGATGGGGGGAAAGAAATCCTAAAAAAAAAGCTAAAATCTTAGAAGGGATGGATTTCTTCCACAAAGAAAAAGAAAAGAAATTGTACATTTCTGGCCAGACCACACTAGAGGTACAGTTGGAAAAATCAGACACACTAAGACTTGAAATTTTCATGTTAGTTTAAAGTAAAAGCTTTGAGTAAAGTTCTGCTTTAGAAGACTTCCCTCCCCCATTCCAACCTGGTGATCTGGAAGATTTCCTCTTCACTACAAAATATGCACTTATTTGGAAAAGTTGGGATTTTAACAATTTCATGGGAAGAATAAGTATGTAATTATATAAGATTGTCCTAATAGACATTTGCTGTACTGAGATGCTAACAGCATGCAGAAACCATTATGTTTCCAGTTGTTTGGCAAAAGTTAAGAAACCTTATATATATATATTTTAAAGTTAACTGTAAAGTAAATCCAGATGGTTCTGTCTCGCACAGACAAGCAGTCTTCAAACGAGACATATAGTTGTAGCCTGGCTATAACTTGTTTTGATTACTGCAGATAGAGAGAAATGCTTTCAGTGACTGTGCACCCTCCTCACAAAATGCTGCATGCCCTTGATTCTTGCTGAAGTCAACTGGCATTTACGCAGCACTACATAAAACTTGTTTGACAATACCTTGCGTGCGTGAGTATCTAGTTCGGTGTTACTCATGTAATTACTGAAGAATTGCTTAATGGCCCTCATCGGGGGTTGGGGCTCTGCTGAGCCAGGGATTGCAGACCCATCGAACAAACATGACAGTTGCTGCCCTAGGTAACCTACTGTTTGTGCTTGGGTTTGTGCTTCTCTCAAAAAAATTTTCTCTCAGAAAATATTTGTTGTATGCTTCTTTTTGATTGATATATTCAGAGTTTTATTTGATTCTTTAATAAGCATTGTCTGTCATGTTCATTACTATGTTTCAGCTGGACGTTGGTTGTGCTTGCTGCTATCAGCAGGGGAACCAGAATTATGTTGACTTGTGAGGCCATTCTGCAAATCAAATCAAAGGGGCAGCTTTGCTTCACAGGGCAAGGATTTCAGAATCTGAGTGTTTGAAGTTGACATATTAAGGAGCATTTCTGAAATTTCAGAATAGGCACAACTGAAAGGTCCATCAGAAATTATACACTCACGGTACATTACTTTATGTTTTGCAGTTGTTTTCTTTTTTTAGTCAATAAGCAAGTGTTCTTGTAGATAACAGTAGATGTTGTTTGTCCAAGCAGTATAACAAGTAGAAATGCTGTTTTATGAGCTTCTTAGGCAGTATTGTCAAGAGGGTAAGTTGGATTTGACCTGATGGGATTCAAATTTACTGGCCGGTGCATCTCTTGCTATGTCTGTGACAGGGCTAATAGCCCAGCAGTAGTGAGAGCTGATAGCTCACAGTATGTGAGACCAGGGATGAAGCAAGCTCTTGAGGGGTTAGGAAGGAAGGACCCCAGTGCTGGACAAGGTTCCCTGGGCCTATAGGGTGAGGCTGAGGCTGAGGCTAGGGCTCTGAAAGGCGTTTTGTTCACTGTTCTGCTTTTTCTCTCACTGTCAGCAGAAAAATTGTTCTGGGAGATTTGTGTTGAAATGGAGTATAGATCCCAAGGCATAGTAATATGGAAAATAAGGGTTGAGGGCTTTCTTGTAACCTCCCCTTACCAAAGAATGCTGGGAACAGGAAAAGCCTGGGGCCCCAAACTGCTGACTCCCCTGTTGCTCAGTCAGTGCTAAGAGGAAGCCTTGTGAGAAGAGTACCTACCAGAGAAATCCTGCACAGAGAGAATAACCAGTGAGTACATCGTTCTGTGCTGTACAGCACATCCTGATGTGCTCCCCAGATCCAAAAATGGGGTGTCTCCAATTGGTTGTAGTGTTTAAAATGCCCTATAAAGAAAATGGCATTGCCAAAATTCAAGGTGGTTTTGTCCCTAATATGCCACTGTAACACACATAGGACTGCACCTAATTATCTCGATGAAGAGAATTGGGAAAGTGCCACAGTCTGTTTCTACTCTTACTGTTCATGGGGATAAGAAGGTTTTTTTTCTTCTACTTCTCTGTATCATTAATAACATATTGCTGCAGAGGTTCCAGAAATGTGTGGTCCAGCCTATTTCCTAAGCATAACACACTT